GGGGAAAATTCAGAAAGATTAAGGTTGTGAGTTTCTTTTGCTTGTTCTAGTCTTCATTTTAACATCATATCACTAATAGTATTAAGAATATATGGATTACATAAAGATTAACCCCAGCTTATAACACCTAATGATTAAACACCCTAACGATACCTGAAGGTGTGAATTAGGTTAGGTTAGGTTAGCTTTGCTTACATTAGGTTAGATTAGCTTAGCTTTGGTTAGGTTAGGTTAGGTTAAATTTGGTTAGGTTAGGTTACTTCTTTCGTGCGGACGAGATTTTATTTTACATAAAAGAATGGAAATATATCAGCGAGCCTCAGAAAAAAAAATGAATACAAAGTGTCTTACATATTTTAGTGGAGATCTTGTGAATGTTTGTATTACAGCAACACGTTAGTCCTCCTCGCTTGTTGATGTGCAAGGTCTCCATACAATTAATTTCGCTCGTTTAAAACTCTTAACATCCCATCTTATACGGAAATAGTTTCATCGGGTATTAGTATAATGTGTGACCTTTGACTTGTTCGGGTGGTCATAAGTCAAGCTCCCTGAGGGTACGTGAAAATCAGGGTACTGTAATGTACACTTCAGTAATGGACCTTCCTGTACTCTTTCTCGTTTATAACCAAGTACCTTTTAAAATTACATCCACGTACAGAACTATTACGAACAGATGAGCTAAATACTGATATGTATCGAGAACGTAGTCTTAACTTTAACCTAAATAATCGCACCTTATCATACAGTAACCTGCTCTAACCTAACCTAACCTAACTTAACCTAACCTAATCATAGCATAACTTAACCTAACATAACCTAAAGTACCCCTCACATAATCTGACCAAACCTAACGTAATGTAACCTCACCTAACTTAAGAACATAAGAACATAAGAAAATAAGGAGTCTGCAATAGGCCGGTTGGCCTGTGCATGGCAGCTCCTGTCGAGAGTTACTACCACTCTCTATCATCCATGAATCTATCTAGCCTCCTTTTGAAACTTTCCAGAGTTCCCGCACTTACTACAAAGTTGCTAAGCTTGTTCCACTCGTCCACCACCCTATTTGTGAACCAGTTTCTTCCTATCTCCCTCCTAAACCTAAACTTATCCAACTTGAATCCGTTGCTCCGAGTCCTATCCTGCTCGGATATTATAAGAACTTTATCTATATCCCCTTTATTGATTCCTTTCACCCACTTAAATACTTCTATCATATCTCCCCTCATTCTTCGTCTTTCTAGGGAATGTAAGTTAAGTTTCTTTAACCTATCCTGATATGGAAGGTTTCTAAGTCCCTGAATCATTTTTGTCATTCTTCGCTGCACCGACTCTAGTGAATTTATATCCATTCTATAATAGGGGCACCAGAACTGAACCGCATAATCGAGGTGCGGCCTGACTAGGCAAGATATAGTTGCAATAAGACCTCTGCACTCTTGTTACTTACACTTCTAGATATAAAACCCAATACTCTGTTTGCCTTATTTCGAGCATTAACGCACTGTTTTCTAGGCCGTAGGTCCGGGCTTACAAGTACCCCTAGGTCTCTTTCACAAGTCGACTTCTCTAGGTTGATGTTGTTCAGGCTGTATACATTATAAGTATTTGTTCTTCCAATATTAAGTACGCTGCACTTGCTGGTGTTGAATTTCATTTGCCATTTTTCAGACCACCCCTGCAGTTTATTTAGATCCTCCTGTAATGCATTTGCATCCTGCCCTGAATTAATTTGCCGCCCTATTTTGGTGTCATCCGCAAACTTGCTTATGTCACTGCTGATCCCAGTATCTAAATCGTTTATGTAGATTATGAACAAGAGTGGGCCTAGTGCTGACCCCTGGGGAACCCCACTGGTTACACGGCCCCACTCAGATTTAACACAATCTACGCTGACCCTCTGCGTTCTATCGGTGAGCCATGATTTTATCCAATTTAAAACTTTCCCCTCGATACCATGAGCCTTAATTTTTCTCAGAAGCCTCTGATGCGGTACTCTGTCAAATGCTTTGCTAAAGTCTAAGTAAATAATATCGTAATTTTCGTCATTATCTACTACCTCGAAGACTTTCCTAAAAAACGTAAGCAGATTTGTTAGACAAGATTTTCCCTTTGTAAACACATGTTGAGAGTCGTAGATTAATTTGCTTTTCTCTAGATGCGATCGGATGCTATCTGCTATAATTGATTCAAGAAATTTCCCCACTACTGACGTCAAACTGATCGACCGGTAATTTGACGCTAATGCTCTGTCTCCCTTTTTAAATATGGGTACTACATTCGCCTGTTTCCACAACTCTGGCACAACTCCAGTGTCTAATGATTTTGTAAATAAGTTTACGAGGGGTCCGCTAATATGTTCCCTACACTCTTTTAAGACTCGAGGAAAAATTTCATCCGGCCCTGGGGATTTTGTGTTCTTTAGTTTATTTATCTTCTTAAGAACATCCTCTTTTCTAATGGTGATATTCTTTAATTTCTCTTCTTCCTTTCCCTTAAATATCAGTTCCACCTCCGGAATTTCATAGCAAATTTCTTCTGTGAAACCTGATAAGAAGTAGCTGTTCAATGCTTTGCTCATGTCTTCACTGCCATTTATCAATTCTCCCCTCCCTGACTTTAAAGGCCCAACTTTGTCCTTGACCTTTGTCCTATTAACCTCATGGTGTTAATAGTGAAAATGGTGATGGCAGAGTGATGATAATAATTGTGATAATGGTTAGATGTACTGATAAGGATGTCTTAGGATTGGACTTTGGTGTTCTATCTGCTATGTACGGGACGCATTGGAGTTGTTGGTGGCGGAGAGTGAGACGCTTTGACCAGAAGGGAATAAAGAAACTTGCACTAGCTTCATACATATCTGTCTGTTCTCTCTCTCTCTCTCTTCTCAAGGCTGTATATTACCTATCTAATCTACTCTAAATGTGAATTTGTAATCACACGAGAATCTATCCAATTGTTGTTGTTTTTTTTCTGCATATCTACCAGTTATCTCTGCTCTATTGTTTTGCTTTCTTGAGCGTACCAGGTGGATTTTTTTCTTGTATTACTGTCGTCGGGGATAATTCAGTTATCGTTTCAATTATCGCTGGATCACTAATCACGTCACTCTCACCTCAACGCACCCATTTGTAACTATTTAATCTGACAGCAAAAAAAAATATATATATATAACGAATTCACTTAATTCTTATCAAACACACGTATATAATACTAAGATTATATATAGATGTTCAATATAGCGGTCACCGACTCCTTGATAATATAGGTGGAGTCTATATCCACCAAGGCCTTAGCTGTCTCAGCTCTACACTCCAGGTGAACAGTTCCTGCACCTCACAACCCTGGAGTAACGTCACTCCCTCGCCTCAGAGTTGAATTCACGGCTTACTAGTGGATGTTAGGTTAGGTTTGGTTAGGTTAACAACTCGCTGATGGAGGTTATATTAAATTGGTGTGTGAATGTTTTTACTGTTAGTTTTAGTTTAACAAATTTCTTGACAAAGCTTGGGGTACAGTTTGCCTATTCTGAGTAATTCAGTCAGGTCATGACACTGAGGGTGGTATCACTTCTCATTGCCACGCAGGACAGAGGTTCATACACAAAGAAATACATCATATTCATTAACAGTATATATATATATATATATATATATATATATATATATATATATATATATATATATATATATATATATATATATATATGTAATATTCAGAAATTTTTATATATATATATATATATATATATATATATATATATATATATATATATATATATATATACTTGTGCAATCTTGGGTGAGTACAGTCTGTACTCACCCCTGAAGATGTGAATTACACGAAAGCGCTTGGGAACTTCGTGTTTTCTTTTTTCCTTGTGGTTATCAGCATATACCTAGATCACGCGCAACTACAGTGATTTACTTGCATATATATATATATATATATATATATATATATATATATATATATATATATATATATATATATATATATATATATATATATATATATATATATAGGTCAGATTCATGTGGATGATGTTATTGTTCACTGCCATGCAGGCTAGAGATTCGCACACATAGAAATGCATCATATTCATCAACAGTATATATAGGTCAAAGTCATGTGGGTTATGTCACTGTTCACTGACATGCAAGCCAGAGGTTCGCACACAAAGAAGTACATCATATTCATTAACAGTATATATAGGTCAGAGTCATGTGGGTGATGTCACTGTTCGCTGCCATGCAAGACAGTGGTTCATATACATTGGACGTCATATTTTAATTGAAGACTAATCAGTGTGGGGTAGCAAATTTGGGATAAACGGCAAGAATGTCCCCAAGCACCCCCTATTCAATGTAGTAATTACAATTTTCATAATATAATAAGCCAGGTGGCCTGAAATCTTTGAAAGTGTCACATTCAATGTTTTTACACATATTTCCTTGCATATTTGTGATGGTGATAATAATATTTGTGATGGTGATAATAATATTTGTATTGGTGTTGATAATATTTGTGTTGGTGATGATACTATTTGTATTGGTGATAATAATATTTGTGTTGGTGATAATATTATTTGTGTTGGTGATGATAATATTTGTGTTGGTGTTGATAACATTTGTGTTGGTGATGATACTATTTGTGTTGGTGATAATAATATTTTTATTGGTGTTGATAATATTTGTGTTGGTGATGATAATATTTTTACCTTAAGCTTCTTTACACAAAAATACAGGCGCAAGTAATGATAATCTTAAATGTCTGTAGTATTGTAAATTGCTGCCTTGAATTACTATAATTATGAGTGTATTTAATTCCTACTTAATAATATGTGTTACGTACTACCCTGGAGTTAATTAATTCACACTTTCACTTTGTCACTTATTCTCTACTGTGATCTTGACTTGCGAACTTAGAAATTTTGCCAGCATTCTTTTCGACTCAAATATAACCGTAATCCATAACTGTAATGCCTTCATGTAAAGATTCACAGTACACAGGGCAGTTCCTTTACTCCTTGTGTCGCCCCCCAGAGGAAGGTGCAGAGGGAAGTGGAGGAGCGCGTCCTTGCTGGGGACCCGGTGACCTTGACGAGCGCTCACCTGCTGCCCTACACACAGGCTGCCATCCTCGAAACCCAGAGACTCCGCAGCATCCTACCCCTCGGCATACCCCACGGTGCCACACAGGTGAGATTCTGAGGTACAACAAAGGTGAGACTCTGGGGTGCCACACAGATGAGACTCTTAGGTGCAACTCAGGTGGGACTCTTAGGTGCCATACAGGTGATACTCTTAGGTACAACACAGGTGAGACTCTGAAATACCACACAGGTGAGACTCTTAGGTGCCACACAAGTGAAACTCTTAGGTGGCATACAGGTGAGACTCTTAGGTGCCATACAGGTGAGACTCTTAGGTGTCACACAGGTGAGACTCTTAGGTGCTACATAGGTGAGAATATTAGGTGCCACAAAGGTGAGACTCTTACGTGCCACATAGGTGAGGATCTTAGGTGTCATATAAGTGAGACTCTTAGGTGCCATAAAAGTGAGACTCTTAGGTGGCATACAGGTGAAACTCTTTGGTGCCATACATGTGAGGATCTTAGGTGCCACATAGGTGAGACTCAGGTGCCACACAGATGAGGCTCTTACGTGTCATATAAGTGAAACTCTTAGGTGCCACATAGATGAGGCTCTTAGGTGCCACAAAGGTGAGACTCTTACGTGCCACATAGGTGAGGATCTTAGGTGTCATATAAGTGAGACTCTTAGGTGCCATAAAGTGAGACTCTTTGGTGCCATACATTTGAGGGTCTTAGGTGCCATACAGGTAAGGCTCATAGGTGGCTTACAGGTGAGGCTCTTAGGTGTCATATAAGTATGACTTTTAGGTGCCCTATAGGTGAAGTTCTTAGGTGCCATGGAGGTGAAACTCTTAGGTGGTATATAGTTGATTCTCTTAGGGCCATATAGATGAAGCTCTTAGGTGCCATAAAAGTAAGACTCTCAGATACCATATAGGTGAGGTTCTTAGGTGCCATACAGGTGAGACTCTTTGGTGCCATACATGTGAGGGTCTTAGGTGCCATATAGGTGAGACTCTTAGGTGCCATACAGGTAAGACTCATAGGTGGCATCCAGGTAAGGCGCCTGAGGTGCCATAAAGTGAGGCTCTTTGGTGCCATATATGTGAGGGTCTCAGGTGCCATACAGGTGAGGCTCTTAGGTGTCATAAAGTGAAGCTCTTAGGTGCCATAAAGTGAGGCTCTTAGGTGCTATACAGATGAGGTTCATAGGTGCCATAAGTGAGGCTCTGAGGTGCCATATAGGTGAGACTCTTAGGTGCCATACAGGTAAGGCTCATAGGTGGCTTACAGGTGAGGCTCTTAGGTGTCATATAAGTATGACTTTTAGGTGCCCTATAGGTGAAGTTCTTAGGTGCCATGGAGGTGAAACTCTTAGGTGGTATATAGTTGATTCTCTTAGGGCCATATAGATGAAGCTCTTAGGTGCCATAAAAGTAAGACTCTCAGATACCATATAGGTGAGGTTCTTAGGTGCCATACAGGTGAGACTCTTTGGTGCCATATAGGGTTCTCGGACAACTGCCCCCTGGACAATTGCCCCACTCCCCGGACAATTGCCCCCTGACAACTGCCCCCTGGACAACTGCCCTCATGTGACAATTGACCCCATTGCCCGAGTGAATCTTATGTACAGCTGACCAAAACCTGACCTGACTTACTGCAGTCATTTTAACCTATCTGCTGACTTTGCCCTGAAAATTCGAATGCTACTAGCGCTGGCATTCATCCCACAAGCTGAAGTGGTCGACGCATTTGAGTCACTGCAAGAGACTATGCCACCTGAAGCTGATCCTGTCATAGAGTACCTCGAAGATACATACATTGGCAGACAACGTCGACATAACAGGCGAGCTCCACGTTTCTCTGTCATCATGTGGAATATTTATGATCGTATAGCCGAAGATTTACCTCGCACTAACAACTTCTTGGAAGGATGGCATAACCACATGCAACCTAACATTACTTCATTCCATCCAAATATCTGGAAATTTCTTGAAGTGTTTAAGAGGGAACAGGCACTGACCAACATCACCATCAACCAGATGATTGCAGGATATCCAGTACCACCTAAGAGGAAACGTTGTCAAGATTCAACAGCCAGAATAGCAACCATCGTACAAGAATTTGAGAGGAATAGGTTAGGTTAGTTTGGATTGGGTTAGGTTAGGTTAGGGTAAAATTCAAACGCAAAATTTCGCTTTCTGGTTATTTTGGTCGCTTTTCGGTTTCTGATTTCAACATATATAACTATTACTACAAATAAAACATGAAAATAAAGCATTAAATCTTAGTGTTATTTTCTCCTCTCTATTCAGTTAGTTCCATGTTTTGTGCCAGTTATTTACTGGCAATGGGAGACAATTGTCCCATGGGGGCCAATTTCCCAGGGGGCAGTTGTCGGGGGCAATTGTCCGCGGGGCAATTTTCCTGATACCGCCATATAGGTGCCATATACTGTAAGTGAGAGTCTAAGGTGCCATACAGGCGAAACTCTTATGTGCCATATAAATGAGGGTCTAAGGTACCATTTACATGAGGCATCTTAAGTGCCATATAGGTGAGACTCGGATAATGACATGCCCAGGAATTTGAAAAGGAAGACACAATTATTAGTTTCCTTCACTGTATTGATTCATGTAGTATGAAAAATAAGATTAGTTTTATTTATTTATTAATGAATTAGAACTTTATTACTAGTTAATATTTTCGCTATGATTTACGCTTACAAAGAAAAACTAGTGGGTGAGTAGTCTGTTATTGTAACGTAGAATTTGGCAGTACAAGGCAGAGGAAGATGTTGTAATTCAGTGTCTCCTCGCCCCTGCAGCAGTTGACGGTCGACGGTTATAGGATCCCCAAGGGCACTATGCTGCTGCCGCTGTTATGGTATGTTCACCACGACCCTGCCATCTGGACCCAGCCTGACCAGTACCGCCCTGAAAGGTTCATAGACGAGGAGGGTAAAGTGATCAGACACCCAGCTTTTATGCCCTTTCAGACAGGTGAGTCTTCATTCACACGTGAACGAAAAATGGAGAAATAAACCTGCTACCAACTTATTTAATGAAGTGGAGATAAGACCTGGCACTGGCACTCTTCTAGATCAGTGCCAAGGAACAGATTTATTACTAAGATTAGACTGTTAATCAAACTTAAAAAAAAACGTCGGGTAGTTATAGACATTTAGAATTAAATACACAGGTAGACAGGATGGTATCAGGGATCAAGAAGTGATGTGACCCGACGTGGATGTCTTTCTCAGGACAGGTCACGCTGAGGAACAGGTGGGTTGATGTGCAAAATTTAGCAGTTGAGGAGTGTTTTAGAATTCTCGCCCCTGATGTAAGACAGATGGTTAAGACTCCGCTAGAGAAATGTAGAAAGCGAAGTCAGAAGATGAATAACAACAGAAAAATCCAGGATGACTTATCGCAGTGAGTTTTTGTTTATTGTGAGTTTAAAGGAAAAGGCAATGGTGTACAGTAGACTTCACAGTAATTACATTAATCTGAGTGAACCTTCAGCGACAACTGTAAAATTATTGAGTGTTGTAAAAGATAATAACTTCTGTTTTTCACGTAGATGAGACTGTGTTAGTTAGGTTAGGTTAGGTTAGGTTAGGTTAGGTTAGGTTAAGTCACTTTGCAGCCTGTGATCCTGCAGTAATTAGGAGGTACGGTGTTGAGGATGAGACAACCAGGTGATAGGGACAACCAGATGAAGGTCATGATCGCGGGAAAAGATTGAGGGAACAGTGGTAATGGTAGCGGCCTCACGTGTTACAGATGACATCTAACATAACCATGCATTCTCCTAGTCCAGGGGAGACTGTCTGCCGTACCACCATTGTTACCATTCTTGGGTGTGTGTATATGTGTGTATCCGGTGCATCTTGGGAAAGGAGGTCCATCCTACAACAGGGTGAGCGTAATTGATGCCGGGGCAGCGATAGCCGTAACAAAAAGTGCCATCACATGGAGTGAAAGGGATACCTGAACCTCTATCGGTCACATCACGCTCTCTTGCCCATTCACAGACTTACGGTTTAGTCTTGCCTGTCACAGCCTCAAGGTTCACTCAGCTTCTGCCCTTACCACTGCAAGTCTATTTTTTCATCTTATTATTCTTTTGTTACACCTTTACAGTCCAAGGAGGTCACTTTTTCTGCAAGAATTTTGACAAGACAAGCGAACGAAGTGAGCAACGTTTTCGTTACTACCTATGGCCATTTATTTTAACCACCCCATACAAGTATTTCATAGACTTATATTGGCTCGACTCTATTAAACCAGGTAAGTGAAGGAGTTACTGATTTATAGTTAACAAAGTGACATTAAGGTCAAGATGTGACAAGTTACACAATATCTTTCCTCTCATACAGGTCGAAGAATGTGTATAGGAGACGAGTTTGCTAAGATGATCCTCTTCGTCTTCAGCACGAAAATTCTTCGTCACTTTAACGTTAGCCTCGATGAAGGCCTGAAGGACGACCCCTCGAGTGACCCTGTATGTGGCATCTCTCTCTGCCCGAGGCCCTTCCAGCTGGTGTTCCATCCCAGAGTTGAAGAATAAGATGGTCACCAAAACTACTGTGTTGTATCTTCACACTTTATCTGTTCATTGTATTAACATTGTTCTCTCCTCCAGAGGCAACAATATATGGTTTATTTTAGGTTATGGGAATAGCATTATCTTTTATTGTTCGTATTGATAGTGAAAGCTTACATACATACATACATACATACATACATACATACATACATACATACATGCATACATATTTACAAACATATATGTATACATACATACATACATGACCTACAGTTATGCACACATACACACACAAACACATAAAATTATACGCACACACACACACATATGTATATATATATATATATATATATATATATATATATATATATATATATATATATATATATATATATATATATATATATATATATACATACATATATATATATATATATATATATATATCATTAGTTCATATATAGGTCAGGTCGGTTATAATGATGTCATCCACTAATCCCCATACCAACACCAACACACCCGTAGAGGAGCTTAAGAGAAAGGGAGCCACGTGACTAGACAGGTCAGGTCATTGTGACCTGACCTCATGTTTAATAAGGTCACCCTGTATAATTATGCCTCTCTCTGTCCATGTAATCCAGTTGCCTCTGAATATGTCTTGAATAAAGACAAAAGCTAAGGTGCTCCGTTGTTTCCCTTTTCCCCGTGTGATTTTATCAAGATTTATCTTAGCCACATTTTCATTGTGGAGCTACATGAAATATATATATATATATATATATATATATATATATATATATATATATATATATATATATATATATATATATATATATATATATATATATATATATATATATATATATATATATATATATATATATTTCATTAGCCTATAAAGCGCGTTGACTTCTACATATAATCAACAACCTCACCCAGCCAGGACTCGAACCCACGATCTTATGTGTGTGACCCGGGAACGTTATCTCTAGACCACCAAAAGCAGTCTTAGACTTTGTTACATTTCACACAAAGCCTGTTCATCAAGCTTTTGGCGCCGTGAACTTCCAATTTAGGAGGGAGATAGGAAGAAACTGGTTCACAAATAGGGTGGTGGACGAGTGGAACAAGCTTAGCAACTTTGTAGTAAGTGCGGGAACTCTGGAAAGTTTCAAAAGGAGGCTAGATAGATTCATGGATGATAGAGAGTGGTAGTAACTCTCGACAGGAGCTGCCATGCACAGGCCAACCGGCCTATTGCAGACTCCTTATTTTCTTATGTTCTTATGTTCAATTGGGGACTACTCGTGGTAAAGTTTCATGAGATTACTGTGAACAAGTTGTGAATCTTTTCGGCGATCAGGAGTATGGACTATATAGTTGAGGGGAGATAGTTTATTAGCAACTATATAGGGACCAGTAAACTTGCTTTTAAGGGGAGAGCCTGGAATGGGTAGAAAGAGTAACACTTTGTCACCTGGAGAAAATGATCTTTTAACTAATTTAGGTTGGGACTTCACCATTTTTTCTTGGACTTTTTTTAAGTTTGACTGAGCAATGGTTCGGACTTCAGTTAATTTGTCCCGTAAAGTGTCAATGTATTGGGAAACTGTTGCGGGGTTAATAGATGGAGTGTCAAACCACTGCTCCTTTACTATTTTAAGGGGTCCCCTAATTTGTCTCCCATATAGTAACTCGAACGGGGAGAATCCCAATGACTCCTGGGGACATTCCCTGATGGCAAAGAGTAACAAGTCTATGCTTTCATCCCATTCCTTTTGGTGTTCTATACAGTATTTTTTTAGCAATGATTTGAAAGTTTGATGGAACCGTTCCAAGCAACCTTGGGATTGTGGGTGGTAAGCCGAAGATGTACAATGGTCCACACTGAGGTCTTTCATCACCTGTTTGAAAAGATTGCTCGTAAAATTGGTGCCCTGATCGGATTGGATCTCTTTAGGAATGCCCACTGAAGTGAAAAGGTGCAAAAGAGGTTTGATTACATTTTTTGAAGTGATGCTTTTAAGGGGAAAAGCCTCAGGATAACGTGTACTGGTATCCATAACTGTGAGCAGGAATTGATTTCCCTTCTTAGTCTTTGGTAATGGGCCCACACAATCCACAACAATCTTTTCAAATGGTGTAGAAAATACTGGGATGGGCTTAATGGGAGCTGCTGGTATACTTTCATTTGGTTTTCCTACCATTTGACAAATATGACAAGATTTTAGGTACTTTGACACATCCTTCCTAAGTCCAGGCCAGTAATAGTGTTGGAGGAGCTTTTTATATGTTTTCAGGATTCCCAAATGTCCTGAAATACCATCATGGGCAAGGGCAATTAATGCTGGTCTGACTGAGGAGGGAATTACCACTTGATGTATTTCAGACCACGTGTCTAGATGGGTAAGCTCAGGGGGTCTATAGGCCCTTATCAAAACCCCTTCCTGATAATAAAAACAAGGAAGGGTGTTAAAATCTTTACCCTCAACTGCCGCATGATGAAGTTTATTCAAAGATGGATCAGATTGTTGGGCTTTAATGAGCTCATCCTTACTAATGGTCTTATTGTACAGATCTTCTGTGGGTAGGAAGATATTGGAGGTGGTTTCAGATGAAGAGGGCCCATTTCGCACACTCTGTGACCGGGTGACAGCACAAGATGGGAAAAGGTGAGGAATAGTTTCTTCAAGGTCAGTGGTGGAGTTGACAGGTAAGGGAGAGTCGACTGTCTTTATGTTGGGAACCACTAGATCTCCTACCAAGTCATTACCCAATAATAAATGAATGCCGCTCACAGGCATTGGATCTTTCCTAATGGCTATTTGCACTTCTCCAGTAATCAAGGGACATTGGAGGTGCACTTTAGCTAAGGGATAGGAAGAATGGGATGAGAGATCTGAAATTAGAACATTCTCATTAGTAAATGCTGTAGATATATCAGGAATGACGTTAAACAGGAGGATAGATTGTGCTGCGCCCGTATCACGTAGTATACGAATAGGGAAAGAACGAGACCCCTCTATGATTGAAATTTTTCCCTCATAGGTGAATGAAGAGAAGAGATCCTGATGGGGCCTTTCCACATTGGTGGTTGCTATTGGTTTGAATTTGGGATCCAGGGAACTACTTTTAGAAGTTCGACACTTTGGGTGTTTACAAGACTGGATCGTATGGCCTGGTTTTTTACAGTAAGAACAATAAAACTTGGTTGCATCAGGGGGGGTAGGTGTGGGACCTTTCGACCTACCACTCACGTCCCCAAGGTTATCATCAGAGGAGGACCTAACATGCCGGAAAGTACCACGTTCCCTACTGCCCAGTGACTCCACCAGCAAGGCGTACACATCAGCCAGCTCAGCCGCACGCCCTAAATTAACCTCTCCACGCTCCTCCACATGCTTCAAGATGTGAAATGGTATCTTGCTCTTCCACTCCTCCAGGACTACCAAGTTTAACAAATCCTGAAATGTGAGGTCTCTGTAGCCTCTAACCACTTCTTGAAAAACCTAAGCTTTTCTTGAGCAAACTCAACAAAGGTGTGTGAAAATGTTTTGGTTAGTTTACGAAACTTCTGCCGGTATCTATCTGGCATGATAGCATAAGAGGTGAGGATATTCTTTTTTACGTTATCATAGTCATCAGTCTGGTCTAAACAGTTATAAACTCTACGAGCCTTACCACATAATTTAGGAACTAACACCGACACCCACTGGTCCTTAGGCCACTCATTCTTCCCGGCTATTTTCTCAAAAGTCCTAAATGACCCGTCCATATCGGATTCATCAAATTCGGGAACAAAGGAAAAAGCATTAGCAGGGTTAAAAGCAGCCAGTCTCTCTTTTAATGCCACTTCTTTTGTTTTAAACTCCGATGTTAAGGTGACTTCAGTCTCTTTCACCTGTAGTTCTTTCAGTCTAACCTCCTGCTCCAGCTTGGCCTGTTCCAACTTGGCCTGTTCCAACTTCACTCTTTCCTCATGCTCCAACTGGAGTTCTTTCATTTTGATTTGGAACTCGAACCTAGCTCGTTCTAGTTCTAAGGCGTCTACTCTTTGTGGTTTTTCTTGAGGGCTAGCCAGACCTGAGGCAACTTCTGAGTGAGGAGGGGTGGTGGATAGTGGTTGAAGTATCCTGGACATGGGCGTTAATTGGTCAACAGCGGATTCTTCTAAAACATCTTGTTGAACCAACATTTCAATTACCTGATTTTTTAACATTTCCTTTGTCATTTGCTGTGAATATGGGATATTGTAATAGGTGGCTATACTTTTCCATTCTTTCTTCAGGATATTAACACGTAATTTAGCTACGGAAGGATTTCCAATAAAATCCTGGAGATCAAAACCTAAGGTGGCTATTGTTAAGAAAAATTAGATAAATTAACTATGTCCAAAAAGATAAGATATTTGGATTACCCTAGAAAATATCACGGCAGTGGATAACCAGAAAGTCCAGGAAACTACCCAAGTTATACCTAGGGAAATTACACTTATGAATATTGTTCTTCTGATAAGATCCTTAGATAAGGATAAGAGACTTGGAAAGATACTTGAAACAGGAAGGGCGTATTACGGCATTAATATAAAGATCAGGATAAACAACCCTTGAGTTACTTTATTATTGACCCCGAATGAGATAATGAGAAGAACAATAATTGAGGCTTTATAATTATGGGGTCCTGGTAGAGAGGGGCGTCCCAAGATATCACTTCACCCTAAACTAGTGACTATGGAACAGCCTACTCTGGAGCGAGGGTACGGCATTAAACTGATCCGGATTCTTCCCTACACTCGATAAGACTTACTACACGACTGCCAAGTGTAATAACAGGTAAGCCTTATTTCACATGGAACCTAATATCCTACATCTGTCACCCTTATTGTACGATAATACCAATATATGCACACACAAATGAAGGAACTTTAAACCACCGTAAAGCAATTGTGAACAGAAGTGACTGGGAGGAATAATTAACAAGGAGTAACAAGGGGGAAAGAAATATGGCACATAAGGTCGGGTCCTGTCACGGTCGCCATTTGTTAAGAGTTGGGGGTTTTCGAATATAGTTAAAAGTCTACCCAGATCCCAACAGGCAACAACAATAAAATAATTTAAACAAACAAAGACAATCGGACTATAAAGGGGTAGACAAAGGATGCGAGTTTTTGTTGTGTATAATATAGTACCATAAATTCCAGCTTCTTATAAATTACACTTAACCATACTTAACCTAAACATACGCAACATTGG